GAATGATGAGACTTGTACTAGTTAAGCAGTAGCCGTGCCTCCAAAAAGAAATCCTTTCGGCTACTAATATCATATTTTAATGTCGAATCATACTTCTCCATATAAAATGGGAACGTTAAAAAGTATGTTTGTAAGGCCTTTTACAGATTGATAAGCTTTCGTATATACAACAAGATTTCAATAATTATTGAATATGATGAGTTTACAGTTAAAACTATACACTATTATTATGCCATTCTTCTACTTATTTGTTTTTATTGTACTCATAAAAAATACGGAATGCATATACTACAGCCTTGCAGTTATAAAATTTAAGTAGTTAAAAAATGAATGTTTGTGTATGTAGTTAATACATATTATTCGCAAATATGTATTTGTCTAAGTGTAGGCGGTTCGTCGGACAACCAGTGTGGAGTTATGTAGATATATTTCTATCACATATTTTTCTTTTTTCAGCTTCACGTTTGATTTTTGTTAACGGTAGTCCCATAAATTCGAATGCATTTGTTTGAAGTGAAGAAACATTTCCATTGAGAAATTTTCGAACATCAATTAAAGTTCGATTAAGATCAAGTTGAATTCGTACAGGTATTGAAATATCGGGCAATCGAAGACGAATGCTTGTCGATGACGGTGAAGTTTTTAAAAAATTTTCAGCAAGTTTCTCAAGAACAACTGCATCTGGCGTTTCTACTGTTTTACTAGTATGCGAAGCAGATGATGATTGGAATGGAGCTAGTCCCGATCCTGATAAATCAACAACATGACCGGTACCAGCAAAAAGCCTGAACGCAAGTGTAACACGTGTATATTTTTCACTGCGATGAGCTTCCAGACTTACCTAAAACGAAATATTTTGAATTGAAACTACATCAATTATTTAGATTATGATTCATTACTTCAATTTCTCGTCCACTAGTATTGGATTTTTTTAGTTCATTGGACACTTCACTACGTTTAATAGAATTAATAAATTCTTCATTATTCTCAAATTTACGTAGCTCACCATCGCCAACAGTGAATCCATTTGATTAAAATCGAATTGGTAGTGTTTCCACGTGACTAGAAGCAGCTACTGGTGCTACTGATGATAAGTGATCTTGAGCATGCACAGGTATATTATCATCTTCTATGCATTATAAATAGTATAATATGAAATTTATGATTCAGTCTTCTTATTAATACCTAAAGAATATCCAACACCGGAAAATGGTTTTTCTTTTTTTGTCTCCGATGATGCAGTAGATTCATTCCCATGTACTTCACGTCCCCCTTGTTTACGAGCTGCTTCAAATATGTTGCTTACTTTTTTTTACCATTATCTTTGTTTTTTGCTGGCTCAATAGTTTTTTGAACCCTGCATTCTGAATCATCGGCATAAAATGATACGTCATCTAAAGAATTAGAAACCATTTTTCACTTCCTGATTTATTAATAATTAATGACCTTCTTCCTGTGAATCATCATCGTGATTGCTAAAAGTATTGCTTTCCGATGATATTATTGATTTATTGCTATTGATTCGTTTTGTAATTGTATCGTTCGACTTTTCAGGTTCATGGAAACGAAGACTTTCTTCAAGAGCAGAGTGCAATAAACTTCTCTCTACAGCACTATCGTTCCTTTTCTTAAAAGTGGCAGTGTTTTCTATGGATACGAAGAATAGAAAACAAAAACTTACGTTTTATATAATCATAGAATAAACAAATTAAGATAAACCAGGAATATTTTGTGTAGTTTGCGTTGCGAATCGTCTAGGCTCTGTCGAAGGAAAAGAATTGCTAGCCTGCAAATGACTACTTTTGAGAAAAAAGTTTAGAGCTACCTCCTCATTCCATTGTACACATTCCAAATATTCTGTTGCTAATTCACGTGAGCATTCTGCTATAGTAATGAATTCATTAATAATTTTGTCTTTTCGTTTTGATGACATCTAGATAAAGTACACAAAAATTGAACGAATTTAAGTTGGAATTTTTTTCTGTTGTTTAACACAACAGAAAAGAATCAACGTAGCCTATTTATACTTAATAAAAAAATAGACACTTTCTTTTTTCTCGATCTTTTTCTTCCGAATTATGTTGACTCATTCAGACATCTATTGGTTAAATTCTCTTCAACAAATATGAAATCTCAATATATTTTCCAACCATAAAGGATTAAAAATCAAATGAATATTGAAAATGTTTTTACTTGAACTAATTATTTTAACTTAACGAGCTGCTAAGGTTGTTTTCTTATTGGTTAATTTGTTTCAATATCGATAGTTTCTATTGGTAAATAAAGAACAGAAGCTGTAAGATGCTTTTTAAAATTTATTTTCATCTATAATTCTTCGATCGTATTGTTTTGTTTTGATCGAAGTAAATTTTATCCACTGAAGTGTTGTAACACGTCAAAACGTTCCATCCAACATTGCCCTACGAGTTAACAGACTTGTGTTTGCGTCTGTGCTCGAGTAATGTATGACTATATAGCTTCATTTTCGTAACCACAAAAGTTTTCTCCTTTTTCAGATTAATATGAAGGTACAAAAATTGTGAATATTTATAAAATAGATCTATTTGTTTCTTTTCTTTTCTTTTGTGTAGCGCACATTTTCAGGAGATGAATTCGATACAAATGGTGATGGTATTGGCAATTCAAATTCACAATTAATTGACATAACAAAAAAAGTAACACTATTTGGATTTAATCACAAGAGAAAAATAAATCATTTTGATTGCTTAGAGTCGTTCTGAACCTTCATTACCCTCTCGGGTTGTTCATTTGAGAAATATTGAAACAAGTGAACTTGAAGTAGTACAACTTGGTCTACCATTCGGCCGTGTGACAAACTTTCTTAATTTACGAAAAAAATCCCAAGTAAATGTAATTTCTTTTAAAAAACTGTTTACAAGAGTAACGTTCATTTTAGGCTTTTCTTGAATTTGACTCAACAGAATCAGCTAAACACATGGTTGAATATTTAACATCGATGCCAGCCATGATCAATGATCGACAAGTATTTGCACAGTTTTCAAATCACGGAGAACTTCGTACGGATCCGACTAATCGTACAAATCAGCAAGCTCATGCAGCATTAGCACAAGCTACAGATCTTTATGAAATAGCACAAAGAGGTGGACCTAACTGTGTATTACGTGTTAGCATTATTAATTTATTATATCCTGTTACAATTGATGTACTACATCAGGTAGAGGAAACTACAATTAAATTCTTTGTATCTAAGTTTTGTTTAGATATTCAGTAGATTTGGTACTGTACTAAAAATAATCACATTTACAAAAAATGGTGAATGAACTTTATTTATGTCCATGTTAATTTTTACATTTTCTTATTCTTAGATAAATTTCAAGCACTGATTCATTTGAAAGATCCGACTGGGGCTGCACAAGCTAAACAGGTGAGCTTAATGTTTTATTTTCACTTTCAATAAATTTCATAAATTCAATTCAACGTAGGATATTTGAAAATAGTACTGTATGTAAATGATATATGATCGATGCTATCATGAAATCATATTAGTTGAATATTTGAATTGTTCAGGTTTACGATTGAAGACAATACTAAGAGAATTTCAGACAAAAGTTCATTAAGAATTATTTTAAGCTTTACTATAAGATTGATATTCGTCCTATTTTTCTCTCCTGTCTATTTAGAATCACGTGGTCAAATGATTATTTTTCTATGGGAAAAAGGAGCGTTTATTCTTAGAAAAAAGAGATGCCAACGTATCGAATTATATATATTTTCAATGAACTTTTTTCGAGAACTTAGTTACTCTCTGAAAGGATTGCAATGGTTTTTTTGATAATCATATGCCGCAATTAAAAAGCATTCGTTTGTAACTGACAAAACAAAGATCATTTTCTCTAGTATCTCTTATATATATAAAAAAAGAAGAAAATTGAAGTGTTTATGATAATAATTAGTGTAAATCATTGTAATTTACTATTTCACTATGAAAAAGATCTGATCATGATAAGTTCTATCTGATAAAGCGTTTTTTCCCTAAAACTATAGGACGACATATATAAATCTGTTACTTCGAAATCTTTCTTAGTCGAATCACAAGTTCTTTTTTTATAGTTTATTTTCTCTCTTTTTAGCAATTGCATGGTCAAAATATTTATAATGGTTGTTGTACTGTAAGTATTTTGCAGTGGTTTCTTAAAAAAAAAGAAGAATATGCTCTATGACAATAATTAGCTTCAAATTGAATATTCAAAACTTCTTTCATTGACTGTTAAATATAATAATGATAAAAGTAGAGATTATACTAATCCAACACTACCATCCGGTGAAGGAAATATGCCCCAACACGCAGAATTAGGTCAGTGATTTTTTTCTTTAACTAATTGTAATATAGTCAATCTTAAATTTTAGAACGAATGCATTCAAATCCTGGCCTTCTTTCATTACAAAGAACGACTTCTAATGAAGACTATCGCTATGGTAAAAAAATAGAAAATTGAAATGTATTTTCTAAATATGACAGTTTAATCTATAGATTATTTCACAACAACAGTACCATCGCGTGGTCGACCTCCATCAACAGCTGGATTAACTCTCGGTCATGATATTCCAGGTAAAACATATCAGTCAGAAGACACGATCAATATATCTTATTGAAGTATAAGAATACGAAATGAGTCTCAAAAATCATGACAAAATCTTATTCATACAATCTGAATGACATTTAAGATCTCTCTATTGTCATTAAATAGGCAGGTTATTTGTCATGCTGCTGTTCAATTTTTAAATTAGAGTTATATTCCTAATGTGCTCTCTATCACTGAATCTTTCATCTTGTAGATTTGAGCTACACCTTGACGTAGGATCATGACCCATTTCTCAATGATGCTATGTCATCCTATTTGTACTACTTTGCTCTTGTATTACTGAAGAATTAAGTAAAACAAGAATGAACAACTGTCGCCCAATATTGATAAAATAAAATCATTTCTCTACAATTACCAATTGTAGTTGTATCGCGCTTCAAACTGTGACCCCACGGATATAATACTAAAACTCCTTTTAGTTAACTATGCATTCTTTTTTTAGGAAATACTAATCACTTGATGAGTCCACTTCAGCCAACACCTTCTGCTTATAATCCAATGGTAGGTGCTACAACTGGTCCATATGGTCATCCATATGCTTCAGCTCATCCTCCTCCACCGCCACCTATTCATGGTTTACCTCCAGCACATCTTCAAGTCCAACAACAACAACAAAATCCTCATATGATATCCCTTCACAATGGTCCTGTCATTCTCGTATCAAATCTTAATGAAGATGTAAGTGACCTAGAACAGTAAATTATTTCTAGTAGTCTTTTTTCTTTCTTGAATAAGACAGAAAAATGAAAAATATCTTTCAAACACACAATCATCTATTCATTTCTTCTTTTTTTCCTCTTTCGGACGATTAGATGACGACTCCAGAGTCCTTATTCACACTATTCGGTATGTGTTTCTTCTCTTTCTTTTCTCATTCTTCATAGACAAACCTCAGAGAGAGAAAATTATTTTCCAAAAAAACACTTCTATCTGCAATTTTTCATAGGTGTTTATGGTGATGTGCATCGGGTAAAAATTTTATTCAATAAAAAAGATTCTGCACTAATCCAATATGCTACATCACAACAAGCAGCTGTTGGTAAATATCCATGACTCGTAAGGTAAATAACCCGAGATCGATTTGTATTTAGGCCATCAAAATCTTGATCATATCACAATGTTTGGAAAACAGATTCGAGTGTCATTTTCAAAACATCAATTTGTACAAATGCCAAAAGATGGTGCATCGGTAATGTTAACAATAAAAATAATCCTAATTTAACTGTCTTATATAGGATATGGGCTTAACAAAAGACTTTACAAATTCACCGTTACATCGTTTTAAAAAGCCAGGATCCAAAAATTATAATAATATTTTCCCACCTGGTACTGTTCTACATCTATCAAATATTCCGTAAGCAAAAAAGAAGTATGATATTCTCAGTTTTATGATTCATTTTTAGTACTGAAACGAGTGAAGACGAAATCCAAAAAATCTTTTCACAATATGGAACAATAAAACGTTTCAAGTTCTTCGAAAAAGATCGTAAAATGGCCTTGATTGAAATGGATACAATAGAACAAGCTATTGCCGCGTTAATAGTATGCATATTTAAAAAAATGATATTTTATTTGTTTTCTGTTTAGAATACACATAACTACCGTTTGGCGGATTCAATGCATCTTCGCGTATCATTTTCCAAGAGCAAGTTGTAAATATTTTGACTCTTCAAAATAAGAAAAACAAAGAGCCATCATTTTCGTTTTCGTTTTCTTTTGTTGGTTGAAGTTTGTTTCGATGTCGACTTACTGTTCTTTGTTTTTTTGCTCTTTTCTGCGAACTAAGTGTTGCTACTCAAGTTACGATGTATTTTTTTCATTTAAAATAAAGACTGCTAGTATAACATGGATGATCGAATAAGTTAGTAAAGGTGAAATCGAAGTAATCAATAAATCGAATGATTGCTCTCTAAATATCGACAAAAAACGTGTTTCAATATTCTAATCTGTCTCAGTTACTGAGCATTATAAAAAAAACAGATAAATGCACATACATATATAATTGTGACGAAAACCCAAGTGTTTGAATAAATAATTATTTATGTCATCTAACATGTTCTTGAATAGAACCTCTCAAGATTCCACACTTAAGAAAATCCATAACATAAGACTTACTATGTCTAAGCGGCATTCAGTTTGTATTCTTTTTATATTTTTACAAACACGTTATTGTTTCTGATTTAAATCCGATTCAGCTTTTCAATAAAAAAATGAAGTGTTTAGAATCAATGAAAAGAGTACATTCGCAATCACAGATAAATCAATGATAGAAAAGTAAAAGTCAATCTTCTTTGTATTGTTTTTCGAGAAAATGTTGATCATGAAATCGATTACAAAAGTTAACAGCACGATTGATTGTATTTGCTGAAATTTTATAGTATCGACGTAAGATATGACGAAAGTGCTGTCATTGCGACAGAAAAAACTCATAATTCAGTTATTCCCAGATTTATTTTATTAAATTTTTGACATGATGGATTTCAGATCGTGACTGCAACATGATTTGACATTTTTTAACTATTTTTATTATTTATTATACGTTCTTCAATTATATTAAATAGCCAAGAATCACAGAATCGAGAATGACGAAATTAGATAGTTCCAACAGCTTCTTCATACAAACAATGTCAACATACATGAAAACATGATTTTGCAGTATGATGTTTGAGTATAAGTACACGATAGAATACTCGTGACTTTTTAATTATATTTAGAATAGATTTTGTATAATTATTGATGTACTATTTATAATGGGTTGATAAAAACGATCGGTTCAAACAAGAGTGAGCGACATTTTCTGCTTGCTGTCCGAACAATAGTAGATATCTTTCGTTAAATCTCTGTGGCAGTAGAGTTTAGAATCTAGTTGAGATTGGAATTGTTGATTATTCTATAAATGTTATGAGAGAGTGATTCATAGAAATAAAATTTTATTAGTGAGTGATATGAGATAGTTTGATTGATTATGCAGATTCAAAATACACGTTGTTGTTTCCAACATTAATTGTGTCAATCTTTCACGATTGAAGAGAGAGAAATGAGAAAGATTCTGAAAAGATGTTTGTTTTAATACGCGGGACATTGGGACATTGGACATTGATTTTTCCCTTTCGTTATGCATTCGAAGAAAAGATAGAAAGAGAGTTTTGCTATCGTTATTTCGAAGTACGGGTCTCAAGCAGGTGGGATGGGAATGGAAAAAGTTTTTATATCGAATGATATGGCAGGAAAGTAAATTTATTTTTAAATTTTTCATGAAATTAATAAAGAAGTTTCTTATATGAGACCTCCATTTGACGTGTTATTATCTACAATCGTTCTTCGTTAAAAACAAATAAGCTAATATAAAAGAAACTTCGTAATTTATTTCTAAGCATTGTCTGTTTCATAGTGACGATTATCAGTTATAAAAGCTTAAATTAATAAAGAAATGATGACGAAAAAAGCTAGATATTAATAGATTCTACTAAATTTTTAAGTGTAAAACTCGGATAAATAAGTATTTATTTAATGATGTAACATTATTATCATAATCGACGAAGTATTTTATTTTCTTTTAAATTAAAGTATCAGTTCAGCAAGATACATTAATTACTGTATGACTCGTACAAACGAGATGAGAGCGCGTTGAGATAAATGAAAAATAAGAAATAAATTTTCTTTTGTTTTGGTCACGAATTTAAAAAGGAATCTAAATTATAATCAATTAGAACATAGTTTGCTAAATCTAACTCATAGAAAAAAATTTCCGTATCGTTCATATAATTTTTTTTACATTTTGATTTTCGAAATTGTTTTCTTCTTTTCTTTTCTTTTCTTTTCTTCGCTCTCTTTTGTGTCTATTTTCTCTATCTTTAATTAAATCTATTATTCCAATCTCAAC